TCGCCGCGCCCAGCAGATCGTCCAGCCAGGCGAGTAAGCCGCGAAATAGGAGCTCACCGAACATTTGGTGGCCGTCCGATTGACAAAACGCAATGGCGTCACTCTGGCCCATCAACACACGCGTCGGCGTGAAGGCACCGCAGGGTGGTATGATCGAGTACAGCTCCTGGCTGGCCGGATGCAACGGCAGCTGCCAGTACCCCTTCGTCCAGTCCAGGGTTAAGTAGACCGAGGTGCCGACCAGGACGACCATCGCGGCGTCCAGGTTTGGTATCGGCCACGGCATAGGCACCGTACAGATATTGATCGGGCGACTGTCGATAGTCATGCGCAGATCGCCTGGGTCCTTTTTCGGCACGATCCGAGGCGCTGCAGCCCATGTCGCCCGATTGTTTCGGTAGACCAGACCGGCCGCTTCGAGCTGATCGACATGCCGCTTCAGGAACTCCACGTGGTCGGGTGGATAGCGACGCATCGAGCACTTGACGGGGACCGCGTCTGGCTTCAGGCGAATCAGTAGAGGCTCCACTTTGATCGGAGGGTCGCACCCGATATCCTTTCGAAACACATTGACGAACCAGGACAGCATGTTCTCGAGGCGCTCAACTTCGTCCTGGCCCAGACCATGGTTTCGCGCCTCCTCGACCTTCGACGCGAGGATATACTTCACCTCCGATTCGCATCTGCGAAGTCGGTCTTCCTTAGACTCCCCAGGTAGCACATCCAGAACAGGGGTTGAGCATTCCATTCCCGCCTCGGGGTCAAAGTCCTGGACGGCTGGCCGGGACGCACACACTCGATTGACAGCAGTGTCTGCAGATGGCAGGAACTCGCTGTCGGACATGTCCCACTCAGGCTTGAGCGCGTCCGTTGAGAATCCTAGGGACTCCATCACCGGACGGCGGATAACAGCGCGACGTCGTCGTCCGCATCATCGTCGATCCAGACTGGTAAGCCACGCAGCAAGAGAGGACCGCATGTCGTCGTGAGTGCCACGCTCAGGGTTTAGCGTCGGCTTAGGAGCACAGGCTTGGTCGCTATGCCGTACGGGTACTGGGCAGTCGGTGTGTCGTCCACCGCCACCTGGGTCGCCACGCCAGGCTTCTCCAGGGCCCCACAGATGCCACGTTGACGTTAGCACCCGTGTCAAGTGACAAGTTGTCCACCACGACGACGTCCGCCACGGTAGCTCCTCCTTCGATCTTCGACCGGGTCGGGCCGAGATCGATTACATTAGCAGTCGGACGCGCCTCACGGGCATCCTTCCACTCTGCATTTGCGCAGCTAGGAGGGCTTGCGCCTCACCTAGTCTTTGGGCAGTCAGTGACCTTGTGGGCCGTAGACTTCCACTTCAGACATGCCGCCGGCTTCCTCGCAGGGGCGGGCGGTGCATCCGGCCTGGCAACCCCATCCGAGGACTTAGGCTTCGCCGGGCCTGCTCCCCCGTCTAGCCTCTTCTCGTCAGGCCTCTTCGGCGCATTGTTACGGCTGTCATGGGCTATTGCGGGCTTGGAGGACTTCTCGTCCTCGACCCCTCCGTACATTTGGTAGCCGGCTGCGAACGTCCGCAGCCAGCGAACGAAGCGAAACACATCCTTACGCAACGGCTTATTGCGCTGCAGTTGCATCTGCTTCTTTACGGCCGACTGTAGCATCGAAGGCCGCACCGCCTTGACCATAACGTCCACGACAACCTTGCCCTCCTCGTCGAGGATCCACTCCTGGTTGTCGCGCTCCAGGGCCTTTATGAGTTCACCCAGCATCTTGCACGAGACTCGACGTCCAGGTTCTTTACGTCGAAAAGGATCGTCGTTCGAGGCGTTACTTCAGCGAGTCCAGATCACGTGGCTCTTCCTCGACGCCATGTTAAACCACGCAATCCATTCGGACTCCGCGATTCAATAGTAGGGACGGTTAAAATCCCACAGCGCCACGCGCCGTTTGGTGAAGTGGTCCATACACGCGGACACCGGCATAACGAACAGTCTAGCTCCAGCTGTCTGCAGAGCATTGACTTGCGCCGTAAAAGCGCGACGCTCTTGCTTGGTTGAGCCGCTAAAGCTCGGGGCATGGGGAATTGCCGGCGCATGTACCACATACGGGGCGTTTTCACCCACGTCGTCGTCATCCTGGTCGCCATTACGGGCACACGTCGGCTCTGGTCAAGCCGACGGGCCAGGAGACGCTTCTTCCTCACCAACTGGGAAGGGGACTTGGCTGGGGTCATGTGGCGTCCCAGTTGCCCGAGCATAACCGCTCCACGGCATGGCCACGTCGATCGGCTGCGGCTGGCGTCGCCGCGGGGATTGGAACGGTACAGGAACCGGCTGGAAGTCTCCACGCCGGCCACTCGTCTGGTGTCGGGAGGTACGACCACGCTCCCTCGACCGCGACCTGTCGTCGTTGCCTCCAGGCGAACGCAATCGGTCTTGTTCTTCGTGATCACTCTCAGCCATTACAGGCTCGTAGTGCACTAAAGATATCTTTGTTGTGAAGCCACGCCTTGTTTGTCCGCAAGGCAATGCAAATCCAAACTGAGTTACTTATCATTACCTTCCTAGTCAGTTCACTTCATTCCCCTCAATACAGTAGCAACTTACCAGGACGTCCAGGTCGTCCCGTACTAAATCGTCCCGTACAAATCCATCCAACATCCAGCAACCGACCTCAGCGAGGTTGAGCTGGACTCGGGGCGCACTCGACCAGAGCAGGCATCCACACTATTCGCTTGCAATCATGATGCCAAGTTTGAAGTTATGTAGGTCAATATTGCCCAAAAGGAACACAGATGGTTCGTAAACTCGAGGCCGCAGCACCTTTCTAAGATCAACAAACCGGTACGGCTGCGTCTTGCCACTCGAGATTTATGATAACAGTAAAAATCGGTCATTTCGATAATTCTTCAAATTGCACGTCTATTTGCAAGTTTGTATGATAGAATCGTATCAGTTTGCTCATCTAATTCATTGGATGTTCGCTCACACAGTCATCTTGACAAATTTTTACTTGCTGTTAGCTACGAGTCAAAGTCAAGTGTTCCAAACTTTTTTAAATGCACTCAACCTAGACTATTGGTCGTGCTTGTGGACCGATAGAACACAGTGCGTTTTGCTCATCACGTACATTGTGGTGTCAGCCGCTGAACTTGGGCGCTCATGCTCTCTGAAAAATATCCTAGACGCCTGTTCTTTTCAGTCCTCTGTACAGCTCCTGTGGTCGAATCCGTAAGTTCCCGTGCTCTGCCCATCCAAACCATTCCTAGTGTCAACTGGGAGACTGTATTTGCACTTAAGCTCCACTGACCACAACCTTCTTGGTATCGTGAGCTAAAATTGAAGGGAAACGATGGTTCGCTTGAGTCGAATTTCGCGATTCTTCACGCAAAGCTGACAACAGACATGACATTTGGTCACCAGCTCCTGTTAGTATGTATGAACTGATTTTGGAATCTTCTCAGCTTTGTTTACTGTTAACTGTTACAGTGAACCCCGGAAAAAGCCGACACCCCTAAAAAAGCCCACCACCTCTGTAAGATGATCTGTTTTATAAATTCTGCCACCTGTATATTTCAATATCACTTCATAATTGTCCTTCTTTTTGTCCAATTGCAGTGCAGAACAAAAACTACTGTGATTGGTTAACGTTTTGAAAGTTCAAAAGAATTCCAT